AAGAACATTAACGGCTATCACTTCTAGGGGGATGAAACAAAATACGAATTCAGTGTAAAGTTAGATCAATCAATTTCAAGAAACTTTTCCTAAGACACCAAATACTTAAGCGATCGAGGTCGTACCGGGAAACAAAACAAAATCTGAGAGTAGCACATAATACCCCGTTCACATTACAGCCTATATCACGTAATATAAGCTGTATTCAAGGGGTAAGTCACTCAGCATATTGTGCCGAAATTATATTCGGTACAGCTTGGGCACATCCATCGGCTTACCTGCGGCACAATCTCGTAGGCATTGGATTGTTTTAAATAAAATGGGAGCACTGCTGGACATTTGCCTTTGAAGTTGTTCACAACATTACGTGCTGTTTGACTGTCGAGTTGACTGTATATTCAGGAACATCTTCTAATTGAATATACCAGCAGTGGGCAAATGGGGTTATTCGTAATCTACATTAAAAATGGAACCTAAATCCAAAAATTCATAAATTTTGGTGCACAGGAACTATGTTAAATCAATGCGATTACATTTTCAAGCATCACCATTTTAGCGCCCCTCGCCATAGAGCAAACTGTCATTTAATGGATGTTAATGCCATCGAATGCAATCTATTGACAATTTAAAACTCGGTTTACAAATCAAGATGAATCTCGATTTAGTTACATGGGTCTCCCCCAGGGCTCATGTTTAAGTCCCCTTTTGTATAATTTCTACGTCAGAGAAATTGACAATTGTCTAAGTGACAACTGCACGCTGAGACAACTTGCAGATGACGGAGTAGAGTCTATGAAAGTGGGCCCAGAGAGGATGACTTGCAAGGACCCTTACAGGATACCTTAGACATTTTGTCTACTTGGGCTATTTAGCTAGGTATCGAATTCTCCACGGAGAAAACTGAGTTGGTCGTTTTTTCTAGGAAGCATAGCCCAGCACAACCAAAGCTTCAACTTTTGGGTAAACCGATCACGCATTCTATGTCCTTCAAATATCTTTGGGTCTGGTTCGATTCCAAATGCACCTGGAGATCCCACATTGAGTATCTGAGACGAAAATGCCAACAAAGGATCAATTTTCTTCGAACAATTACCGGAACGTGGTGGGGAGCCCATCCACAAGATCTTCTGACGTTGTACCGGACAACGATTTTATCGGTTTTAGAATACGGTAGTTTTTGCTTCCAGTCTGCGGCCAAAACTCTCATCATCAAACTGGAACGGATCCAGTATCGCTGTCTTCGTATCGCGTTAGGATGCATGCACTCGACTCATACGATGAGTCTCGAAGTGTTAGCGGGCATGTTGCCACTATCTGATCGGTTTTCGGAATTATCCCTCAGGCTCCTCACCCGTTGTGAAATTATGAACCCACTGGTAATTGCAAACTTTGAGAAGCTTCTTGAGCTAAACCCTCAAACTCGTTTTATGACATTGTACTACGTGTACATAACACTGGATGTCAGCCCTTCACAGCATAATCCTCATCGTGTATGCTTCTCCGACTTCGGCAATTCAGTTAGTTTTGATTTATCTATGACGCGGGAGATTCGTGGGATCCCAGAACATCATCGTTCCATGATTGTTCCGTCAATTTACGCTGCAAAGTTTGGCCAAGTTGATTCCGCAAGATCGTTCTTCACAGATGGATCACTAATAGAGTCGTCCGCTGGTTTTGGTATTTTTAACGAATTTCGTAGCGCCTCTCGAATGCTTCAAGCTCCTTGTTCCGTATATGTTGCTGAGCTGGCGGCAATATACTATACGCTAGAAACGATCGCCTCACTTCCACCAGATCACTCTTTTATTTTTACGGATAGTCTCAGTTCTGTCGAGGCTATTCGCTCCATGAGGCCTGTAAAGCACTCCTCGTATTTTCTCATGAAAATACGAGAGCTTTTAAGTGCTTTATCTTTAAGATCTTTTGTCATCACCTTTGCATGGGTCCCATCTCATTGCTCGATTCCGGGCAATGAGATGGCTGACTCACTTGCTAAGGTGGGCGCTATAGAAGGCGATATTTACGATCGACAAATCGCCTACGACGAATTTTTCTTCATTTATCGTCAACAGTCCCTCGCCAGCTGGCAAAATAAATGGAGTGAAGGGAGTTTGGGACGATGGCTATATTCAATCATCCCTAAGGTTTCGAAGAGTTCTTGGTTCAAGGGGTTGGATGCGGGTCGAGACTTCATTCGTATGATGTCTCACCTCATGTCCAATCACTATTCGTTAAACGCTCACTTGTTCCGTGTTGGGCTGGGGGACAGCAATCTCTGTGAATGTGGACAAGGTTACCAAGACGCCGATCATATTATTTGGTCTTGTGCTGAGCATCGTGGAGTCAGATCGGAGCTGTACGATTCCCTTCGGGCTCGCGGTAGACAACCTAACGTTCCAGTTCGGGATATTTCGGCTAGACGCCATCTGGAGTTTATGCAACTCATATATGTTTACTTTAAGAATATTAACATTAGATTGTAAGTTTGATTAACGTTGTGTTTAGTTTGTATTTTGTACGTGTGGGTTTTTATGTTTGTTTTCAAGATGAATAGAAATTAGTTCATGTTTTAGGATTAATTAAATATTTGTATCGTAAACTACATTTCAAACCTCCCTCTCCCTTTTCTCATCAAAAAAAAAATGTAAATCTCCACTAACCTCGAGCCAACCGCGAGTATCCGGTCCAGCTCCTTTAACTTATATATATAATATAAGACATCAATAATGTATAACGAAAATGATAACACGGCTCTGTAAAGTTTATTCGATTGAGCCTGTACAAATAAAGTAATTAATAAAAAAAAATCAAGATGAATGCCTATGGGATCGATAAAAATATATTTGTGCTCAGAAAACGAAGCTCTTTCAGATGATGTATAAAAACCGGCATGTTTTTCAAAACTCAACAACCCAATTGAATAGTTCTAGAGTGGGCTCAAGAGAAACTACAGAAGTCATATTCATCATCCTCTATATTCGGTCTCTAACAATGTTCCTAACCGGTTCCAACTCTTTCCGGCCGCTAATAAACCGTTGCTTTTCACATCATGAAAGGCTAGGTTTCTTGACTGCCTATGAGAGCATTATAAAAACCCACAAAAATAGGATGTTATTATCATATGAACACAATTTTGCACACCCGCCACTTCTCGCGTCATCCTCAATCACATTTTTGCATGCGATTTCTAACCAAAACATTCAAGGTGTCAGAAATACCGGGTTACCGGGATGGGTATTTTGCAAACAATCGCAGCTTGCAGCAGCTATGAGCGGCACAATCGGCACACCTGCGGAACATTGACAAAAAAGATGACCCAAGATTGGGGTAAGTCACTCAGCACATTGTGCCGAAATTAGATTTGGCACAGCTTGGGCACATCCATCAGCACACCTTTGGCACAGTCTCGTATGCATTGGATTGTGGTAAATAAAATTGGAGCACTGATGGACAAGTGTCATTGAAGTTGTTCACAACATTATGTGCTGTTTAATTTGAATGTTTATGCAGGAACACCCTCTAATTGAATATACCAGAGGAACTCAGACCAGCAGTTCACTTCTCGGTGCAAGTATGGATTTATATCCGAAATGTAGGTTCTAGCGAGGGCTCGAGAGAAAGAGGCAGTTAATCAGACCCCATTAATACCCTTAATTCAAAGAATGCTGCAACTCATACAAAACAAAGTACGGAGCTCATATTCATCATCCTCTATTTTTGGACTCCAAAAATGTTCCCCACCGGTTCCAACGCTTTCCGGCCGCTGATAAACCGATGTTTTTCACATCACGAAAGGCTGGTATGCCTTTGAGGGCATTATTTAACCCGAATACACACGACTTTTATTATCATTGGAGCACAAAACACAGCAATTTCACACACCCGCCACTTTCACTAGAGCGATTTATCCTTACGATTTCAAACCAAAACATTCAAGGTGTCAGAAATACCGAGTTGCCGGGTTGGGTATTTCACAAAAAATCGCGGTTTGCTCTACGACCGGCACAATCGGCACACCTGCGGCACACTTGTGGCACACTGACAAAAAAGATGACCCTAGATTGGTGTGCGAAGTGACCTACCCCTTGGCTGTCTTGCAATGAGCACTCATACATAGGATTTCCAGTGAAAACTAGATGTATGAGTGCTCATTGCAAGACAGCATATATCACGTGATATACGCTGTAATGTAATACCCCGTTCACATTACAGCGTATATCACGTGATATACACTGTCTTGCAATGAGCACTCATACATCTAGTTTACACTGGAAATCCTATGTATGAGTGCTCATTGCAAGACAGACTATGTTACGTGATATAGACTGTAATGTGAACGCGGTATAAAGCTCAAAAGCAGTAATTTGAGAACAAAGCGGATGTTCAAAGAAAGTTCACGATTTGATCAGAATATGATTAGATTAATTTTGTGATATTTGTTTTATGACAGTGTTGAAAAACAGAATTTATTTTGCCTGCATAACATTTTTCCTAAGTCCAACCAATCCTAATAGTACGTTCAGACTACAGAGTTATAACATGTTATAGCGCTATCTTGATGGTGGTTTCTGTGTTGCAATTATTTGACAACCGTTATAACATGTTATAACTCTCCAGTCTGAACAGCGTTTAAGATAGAATTGATTTCTTACTTCTGGGATCTAACAGGATCACACTTGAATTGGACAGAAAACCTAGACGAATCATTCGTTGAAGCCTTTGACTTGGGCCAATCTTGGAGTGTTTCACTGACAAAGATTGACTTCGAATTCCCCAAAGTCCAAGCTGCAACAATCTATACTAAACTATTCATACATGTACCGATGAACGCATTCGAAATCACTTCTCACACTAATCAGACTATGACACAGCACACAAACTGTTTGATAAGAAAGCATTCGTCGTCACCCCGGTCAGTGCATAGGAAACGAAAACAACATTGATTCATGGGATATATTCTGCTTCTAGCAAGACAGCATAGCAGCCAGTATCCAACCAACCTTCGAGCAGTCAAGATGAGATCAACCAAATGCGCCAAGCTTCTGCTAATGAGTTATGTATTTTGCGCAGTACTGTTACCGGGCAACGCCAATGTCTATTACTCGCAAGATCAACTTATGGCATCCAAAATTGACCAACTGGAGAATAAGTATATCGAATTTGATGACTTAACGATCTTTTAAGCTAATAGAACATTTAATTTACGCAGAATTATGAAGCGACTGGAGTCGCGATTGGATGCAATGCAGGAAAGGTAAGTACATTTGCATTCGGGGTTTTCCCGTCCTATTAGCTTGTATTCGTTTCTTCCTTTCCTGAATAGAATGGAACGCAAGTTTGGCGAACACATGGTAGCGCTGCAAAGATCCGAGAATACAAAGTGGCTAGAACTTGATGGTACGTACCTACATGGTTGGTTTAATCATTTCATTCTATGCACATTTGATCATTTCCTTTCCAGATAAGATTCTCGTTCTGAAGGATGCCATTAGGCAAAATTGTAAGCCTAATTTGGAATATTGTGTGTATTTCAATGAATTTGTGTGAACACTGATTGCTCCATTTCAGCCGGTGCCTACTTCGATTCCTGCCGAGGGGTCCCATCGGACTTGAGCAACATGTTTATGATTCGACCGCCAGCAGTCAACACGCCTCCGTTTCTAGCCTACTGCGAGCAACAGTACCTGGGTGGCAGCTGGATCGTGATCCACAAGCGTTTCGATGGATCGGTAGACTTTAATCGGAACTGGCTGGAGTACAAGGAAGGATTTGGGGAACCCGATGGGGAGCACTGGATGGGATTGGAAAAGATTCACAAGATCACTAAATCGGGCGATCATGAGCTGCTGGTGGTGCTGAAGGACTTTGACGGTAGATCCAAAATGGCTCTGTACGACGGATTCAACGTGGACACCGAGGGAGCCAAATACAAACTTTCGGTTGGGCAGTATGTGCATGGTGATGCTGGGGATTCACTAAGTATGACCAACGGAGTACGGTTTTCGACGAACGATCAGGATAACGATCAACACTCGGGAGGATCATGTGCGGAGTTCTATCAAAGCGGTTGGTGGTTCAAAAGTTGTATGAATGCGTAAGTTTGACTAATGTTTTGGTTCAAAGAATAACTACATTTCTAACAATTTTTTTCCAGGAATTTGAACGGCCTCTATCACAATCACGATGATAAAAACATGACTATGAATTGGTTCACCTTCCGAAAGGACTTACAAGGACTGAAGGAAGCATCGATGATGATTCGTGAAAAAGTTAAGCTCTAAATATACCCTTTTTTTCGTACCTATAGACATAACAACCAACATTGTTGGAAAATTATCAATAAACACGCTTCAACCAACCTTTTCGATTGCTGCCATGCAGCCATGATTGACATTTACGAATTCCCTCGGACAAATTGATATCTATTATTTTCAATTTGTTCTCCTCCTTTCGGTTTTGAGATATCCAAAATCAGCACAGCTACTTGGTTAACTTGCTCCACGCCTTATTCCTGCAACGATGACGTCACCCACTTGCCTCCGCGCCGGTAGCAGTCGTCGGCACTTGACAACCAAACATAAACAATCCCAACACAAACATAAGGAAAGATAATGCACACGATGATATCGAGTTCTCACACCACCCTCTCTGCTTATGAATTATGGATAATTGCCGGTCGATAAACTTGATTTATGCTGCGACCGAGTAGGGAAATTCCAAAAAAATCTTCACTTTCTAAACTTAATTTTCACTGCACTTGTTGATAATGAACCTAATCTGCATTGCACTAATTACACTTCCACCATCAATGCTCATTGTCACACGATAAGCGCACGAATGTAAATCCTTGCGACCGACGACGACCCTCGCGACTGGTGGGTTGAACCTGAACTGAGTATGTACCTGTCGGGGCGAGCGTAGTAAGCGGTGAGAAGCGAATCGTGTGTGGAGGAAGAATCCCTGTCAACCGTTGCCAGGGGTGATCGCGTGTAAACAATAAATCGATCCTCAGTAGGTAGTGTGGACATGCAGGAGCGCGTGGTTCCGGTGTACGTTTGATATCATAGTGTGTGAGTAGTAATGAAACGCTGTGATATCCTATCATTCTATGCTCATGAAGGATTTCCGTCTTGAATTTAATAGGGTTTGGTAGCAGATATGTATTTTTGTTTTTTTTTGTTAGCATATATGCCAAACATTTGCAGCCTAGAAAAATATGTAACCATTGAGCTACAATGCCGATGATTTTAGTTGGTGCAAGATATTTTTAAAATTAGTGTTTTTTAGTGTCAGGATTAGTAGCATTGTCAGTAAATTTGCATGTAAAATAAAAATGTATAAATTTGTATTACTTGGATTATGGAGCATTCATTAAGTAATGCAAAATTTTCCCAAAACTAACCACCCTCTCCCCTCTGTCACATATTGTCACAATTTCTTCACAACACCCTCTGAATGTAACGAATTATCACCCCCTTCCCGTAATTATTGTGATGTTTGGTTGGTGTCGCAGAAGTGAATTTATTTCTGTTCTTTTTGAATACCAGTGTAGGGTTGAGAAGTAATACACACTAGAATCCCACTACTGTTTACCACAGTTTACCTCGTTACTGATAGCAGGAAATGATATGCCTATCAATTATTTCTACACACATTCACATATCCATTGTTTCCACACACAACACATTTACGCCATGAAGGTAGCAGTTAGAGTTGCTTTATAATAGTTAGTTGAAATACAAACCACGGAAAGTACAAAACGTACCCACGCGCGTGTTCTTTACTCGTCCACTCGAAAGGTCCGAAAACTTTTTCCAAATAAGTCGCTGTCGCGAGTTCCTTTTATTTTACTTGCTGGAACGGGTTAGGTTTCGACGGATCCCCAGTGTCGTGAATTAAACTAATGGTGCCGAAACCCGTGAAGAAAATCCCAAAAAACGAACGATTATTGGAAACGTGTGTCCACGTGCTGCTGAACCAGGTGCCATCCGGGCCGAATCAACTGTCGATTTGTTCTGATCGCAATCAGAAAATTCATCCCTCCTGTCGTCGAAGCCATCGGATTTGTCATCAGTAGCAGTTGGTATCACGGGATCCACAAGGACGTCGTCAGAATCACGAAACCAAAGCCAGTTTGGAAAACGAGGTTAAGAGAGGCACGTGGTCGAGTGAAACGTAAGGAAAGCAGTAATAGCAGGTGGGTACCTTTTATCTCGTTGGTGCATTTGCGATGACGCTGCCCAAGAAATCAACTCTGAGGAAGGGCACCCTCCATCACAAAACCCTTTTACGTCGTAGAACCAATATTCTCGGATCGGCGGAACTGATTCAGATCTTTAATGATGAGTATGATGTAACGCAAGTCAATCAGGTAGCGATTAGAATAGAGCGACTAGATGAGCTCTGGGAAAAGTTTGAAGATGTCCAAGATGAAATCGAAGTAATCGAGGACGAGCAACAAGAGTTTTCGGAAACTCGCCAGCAGTTTCAAAACCATTACTTCGAACTGAAGGCAGCCCTTGTTGGCAAACTCCCTCAACGCGACCCAGCACCAATCTTAAGACCATCGTCGTCCCTACCCCCTGCTCCTCAAACCATCTCCGTAAAACTTCCAGAACTCAAAATACCGGAATTCCGTGGGAACCCCGAAGAGTGGATAGAGTTTCATGATTTATTCAAATCCGTCATTCATGGTAATACTCAACTGTCGAACGTTCAAAAACTCCACTACTTGCGTAGTTCTCTCAAGGGTGAAGCTTCTCGCTTGATATCATCTCTTTCAATCACTTCAGACAACTACTTGATCGCTTGGAAGATCGTATGCGACCGTTATGAGAATACGAACTTCCTTATCAAACAGCACATGTCTGCCATCTTGAAAATTGGTTCCATCAAGAAGGAGTCGGCAACTGCACTGGCTGAGCTTGCTGACGAGTTCAATCATCACGTCGGAATTCTCAACAAGCTCGAGGAAGAAAATGCTCATTGGAACTCCTTTTTAGTTGAACGCCTTAGTAGTCTATTAGACGAGAAATCACTGATGGATTGGGAGACTCAGTGTAAGGAGGAAGAAACACCGACATATGAAGATCTCTTCGAGTTTATTCACAAAAGGTCACGCACACTGCAGAAATGTAAATCTGCGTATAATCCAACTGGTAGTGTGCATATGAAATCGTCCAAGCGCAAAACTTCCTCCTCTCCCGTTGCCTCTGAAAATGTAACAAAGTGTCTGAGTTGCAAACAAGCACATTCCTTGATCCAGTGTGAGGCATTCCTAACGTTGTCACCTAACAGCCGGCTTGATTTTGCCAAACGACATCGCTTGTGCATCAATTGTTTACGAGGTGGACATATCGCAAAGGATTGCCGTAGTAGCATGTGTCGAACCTGCGGAAAGAAGCATCACAGCATGCTCCATCTTCCACCGTTAACGTCAGCTTCGTCGGTCGTTGATGTATCGAATGATGTGCAATATCCCAGCACTTCCCAGGCGTGTACAGTCATCTGTCGTGCACCATCTACCACCACTCAAACAGAGATCTCGCATTCGGTCACGGATACACCACCGGTGGTGTTAGCGCGTTCGTTACCCCAGGCAAGTGCGTCGGTCTTGGGAAACAATCCGTCGTCTGTCGTTACGGTCGAAAAGCCCCCCTCTGCGTCGTCGGTAGTTCCGTCCGGCAATCTCGAATCTGAACATTGCTTTCAAGAACCAGCCACCTCACTGACACAATCGAGCAACGTTCGTGAAAGCACCATATTCCTATCAACCGCTGTTATTCGAGTTCGCGATGTAAATGACACCTATCACTTTGCGCGGGCTCTGCTGGACAGTGGCTCACAGTCAAATTTTGTTTCGGAATCAATGTGCCAGAAACTTGGTCTAAAGCGCACCCGCATCAACCTTCCTGTCAGTGGAATCGGACAAGCAACCGTAAACGTTCATTATAAAGTAAATGTTACGTTTGCATCTCGTTTCGGGGGTTTCGAACAACAGCTCGAATGCCTAGTGTTACCCCGATTAACAGTGAGTCTTCCCAGCCGCAATGTCGATATCTCTCGTTGGAATGTTCCTCGCAACCTACCCTTGGCCGATCCGAGATTTAATATCTGTCACGGGGTAGATCTCATTATTGGAGCGGAACTATTTTATACCCTTCTCCATTCCCAACAAATAACGCTAGCTGATCAATGTCCTATATCACAGAAAACAGTATTAGGATACGTCGTCTCTGGGAAGGCTACAACCCAGGCTTTCGAGACGGTGGTGTGCCACGTGACCACGAACCAAGATCTCAACTCCCAGCTCGAACGATTGTGGGAGGTTGAGGATTTCGACGTAGGAAAGACTCTGACACAAGAGGAACAGTACGTCGAAGACCATTTCAATCGCACCGTGTCACGGGATGAAAGTGGACGTTATGTGGTGCGATTACCATTTAGAGAATCTCTGATTTCACTACTGGGTGATTCCTGCAAGTCGGCGCTAAATCGCTTTTCATTGATGGAGAAACGGTTCGCCAAGGACAACGAGCTACGAGACGAGTATAATAAGTTCATGGAGGACTACATACGGCTAGGGCATATGGGACAGCAGCAGTTGCAGTCGACGATTCCATCTTCGAACGGTATTCCGAGCTGGGAAAGCTGCTGAAAGTAGTGGCAATGTGTATCCGTTTCAGCAACAATTGTCAGCTTCCAAAGGCTGAGCGATTTTCCGGAAACTTAAGACCAGCGGAGGTGGACGGGGCGTTGAAAGCACTGGTACGGCTAGCGCAGGTAACTAATTTTGCTAAAGAAATTCATCAACTCCAACATAACAAACATGAGTTTGATAGCAAATCCCCCTTGAAGAACTTGCACGTGTTTCTCGATGAGCAGGGTCTACTTCGCATCGACGGTCGCCTGAAAAATATAGCTGGTCCCTTTGATTCAAAACATCCACTAGTATTACCAGCAAATCACCAGTTCGTCACTTTAGTTGCTCGGTCCTTACACTTGAGGACGGCACACTCTGGTCCCAATTTGCTACTGGCAACCATTCGCCAGCGGTTTTGGCCATTGCGAGGCCGTGATCTGGTTCGCAAGGTGGTACGAAATTGTGTTACATGCTTTCGTTGTCGGCCAGCTGATTACCATCAACAGATGGCACCACTACCTGTAGCCAGGGTAGTCCCATCGCGAGTTTTCTCAAAAACTGGCATTGATTACTGCGGGCCATTCAACGTTCGTCCTTTGTATGGGAGGGGGGCAAACGTGAAAATGTACGTCGCGGTGTTCGTCTGCCTGGTGGTAAAAGCGGTGCATTTCGAAATCGTTCCTGACCTTACGACCGCCACGTGTATCAACGCGATCAAACGTATTTTTCGTAGCTCGACGCGGCCGGTTAATCGAGCTACATTGCGATAACGCGACAGCTTTCGTCGGGGCTGATCGCGAGTTGGCCGCGTTACGTCGTCGGTACCTCGACCAGTACAAGTCGGATGAGTGGAAGAACTATTGCATCGATTCCGGAATAAGCTTCCGCTTCATTCCGGCTCGTTATCCTCACTTCGGGGGTCTGTGGGAGGCTGGGGTGAAATCATTTAAATTTCACTTTCGTCGTATTTTTGGAGGACATTCCTTTACCTTGGACGAATTTTCCACGGCAACAATTCACATCGAGAGCATCCTAAACTCCAGGCCTGTCACACCCAAAACGGACCACCCAGATGACTTTGCTGTTTTGACGCCCGGACACTTCCTGATCGGGGAACCAATGTTTTCAATCCCTGAACCGGATGTCACTAACATCACCACGAACCGGCTTTCTCGTTTACAGACAATGCGTCGCTCTGTCCAAGATTTTTGGAACAGGTGGTCCAGAGACTACATCAGCCAGCTCCACCAGCGGTCCAAGTGGAAAAGGGCAACCACAAACATTCAGGTTGGAGCCTTAGTCTTGCTCAAGCAAGATAACCTTCCCTCATTCATGTGGAATCTTGGAAGAGTCATGGAGACGTATGCCGGTCACGACGGGCTAGTGAGAGTGGTTCTTGGACGAACGGGCCGTGGACTCTACAAACGAGCAGTGACGGAGATCAAAATACTGCCGATAGATTCCGCAGTCGATGACATCACTACTGAAGATCGTCCGCCAACAGATGAGCAGCTACAACCATAATGTTGAAACGGACGGTTTCAACGGGGCCCGGTGTGTCGCAGAAGTGAATTTATTTCTGTTCTTTTTGAATACCAGTGTAGGGTTGAGAAGTAATACACACTAGAATCCCACTACTGTTTACCACAGTTTACCTCGTTACTGATAGCAGGAAATGATATGCCTATCAATTATTTCTACACACATTCACATATCCATTGTTTCCACACACAACACATTTACGCCATGAAGGTAGCAGTTAGAGTTGCTTTATAATAGTTAGTTGAAATACAAACCACGGAAAGTACAAAACGTACCCACGCGCGTGTTCTTTACTCGTCCACTCGAAAGGTCCGAAAACTTTTTCCAAATAAGTCGCTGTCGCGAGTTCCCTTTATTTTACTTGCTGGAACGGGTTAGGTTTCGACGGATCCCCAGTGTCGTGAATTAAACAGTTGGTAATGAATTTAATAGATTTTTAACCAAAATATGATTTAGTATTTATTTCAGAATAGTTTTTTGGAAAAGTGGTTTAAATCAAGGGGTATTCAACTCTGCACACCTTAATCTGTACCGAATGCTTTAGCTGTGCCATAAATTATTCCTACCAAGGTACCTTTGCTTTGCCGAACAGGGTTGCTAAGTGATTTTTTGAAAAAATCTGGCTGTTATAGAATATCAAGTCTGGATTTGTCTATGCCAAGGGGTAGGTCACTCCACACACCAATCTTGTGTCAACACTTTTTTCAGTGTACCGCAGGTGTGCCGATTGTACCGGTCATAGAGCAAGCTGCGATTGTTTGTAAAATACAAATATTATGGCATATTTGGAAACCCGGTATTTCTGACAGCTTGAATGTTTTGGTTTGCATTCAGAACGGCCTCGAAAATGTCGAAAATCGTGCTCGATAAGGATTCTTTCTACCGACGAATAAAACGCCTCTACGCCAACTGGATGTAACCAGAGTTTTCCCATGATCATTCGCTACAGAAGGCGGATTGCATTCTGACGGCGGTCGGCGTAGACGAGGAAACCATTACAGCAAATCCACCTCACTGCCGACCTGGCTGCTGGGGTACGAACTGACAGATACGATTACGGTGCTGTGAGAAAAGTCCATCTTTTTCCTGATCAGCAAGAAGATCTACTTCTTGAAGCAACTCGAGAAGGACGGTGAGGAGGGTATTCCGTCGGTTAAGCTGCTGGCTTAGGATAAGAACGACAAAGACAAGGTCAATTTTGAAAAGCTGCTGGAGGCGATCAAGAGATCCAAGGATGGCAAAATGTTGGGTGTCTTCTCCAAGGAGAACTTCTCGGGTGAATTATGTGAATCGTGGCGAGCCTTCGTCAAGGACAAGAGCTTCAACACGATGGACATCAGCGTCCCAATCGGGTACATCATGTGCTCTAAGGAGGACTCCGAGGTTATCACCATCAAGAAGGCCTGCCTGGTGACGGTAGACGTATTCAACAAGTACATCAAGGATCACATCATGGAGATTATCGATGCTGAAAAGAAAGTAAAACTTGCAAAACTGTCGGAGGGTGTCGAGCAGGCTCTGACGGACAAAAGGTTTGTCTCCGATACCAACTAGTTGGACATGTGCCACCCGGCGATTATCCAATCGGGCGGCAATTACAGCTTGAAGTTCAGTACATTCAGCGACAAGAACTATTTGCACTTCGGATCGATCATCTGTGCTCTGGGTGCGCGTTACAAGTCCTATGCTCCAATGTCGTTCGAACGTTGCTGGTCAATCCGACGGAAACGATTCAGAAGCACTACACCTTTCTGCTCAATCTGAACTGCTGAGTGATGATTCCGGGCAAGAAGCTCTCGGAGGTTTTCCACTTCAAAATGGATTATGCCATGAAGGAGGATCCAAGCTAAGACGTTCGGCTTTGCCATCGGGTTGGAGTTCCGGGAGAATTTGAGTATGTTGTAAGTTGAGTGGAAGCAATAACAATTCCGTGTGATTGTGCCGTGAAAATAGTTCAAATTTACATACGTCGAATCGGTGGTAAGGAAACAGTTGTTACCCTTCACCCTTCATGTCCATCGTTGCCCCAGTAGTTGAACCAGGAGTTCTTGATTAGCCAGTAATCTTCTCTTTTGAGTTTTTCGTATCTAACCGCCACCACTGCACTATGGGCAAAAATGGGTCCAAAATTACCCAAAATTCAATATCTCAACAGCACGCTGAATTCCGGCCATGAAAAACGACTTTCCGAAGGAAAATCGTCCGGGGAATTGATTGCACGTAGTCTCATAGACCGGAGAGCCTTGTAGGTATGTGTTTTGTACCATTTTACCCCATTTTCCCCTACTTTTTGGAGGAAATGTTTTTTCACAGCTCTATTTTTCGTAAAACATAAGCACTTTATGCATGGTTTTAGAATACTATGTCTTTAAACAACAGTTCATGAGATATAAGGGGAATACGGGGTACACTTTATAGGGGAGTAAGGGGTAAAAGTGAACCCTTGCTAAATTTATTTTAATTCATAAAAATGTTGAACGATGCGATTGTTTGAATGACCCCAAAGGCTGCCTGCAATGCTTATGTTTTATGAAAAATAGAGCTGTGAAAAAACATTTCCTCTAAAAAGTTTGGGAAAATGGGGTAAAATGGTCCAAAACACATACCTACAAGGTTCTCCGGTCTATGGGACCACGTGCAATCGATTCCCCGGACGATTTTCCTTCGGAAAGTCGTTTTTCATGGCCGGAATTCAGCGTGCTGTTGAGATATTGAATTTTGGGTAATTTTGGACCCATTTTTGCCCATAGTGCACTGGCATGATCCAATCCATCCAAATTGTTCATGCATTCCAGTTCGTAGTACACTCCATTTGCGTAGTAGCTGAAAGACTTGTGACCGGCATCGATAGCAATCGACAGCCCTCGGAAGCCTACATTTCGAATTTAAATGTGAACCGAGTATTTTTCTGAAATGCGCCGGCAGACTTCAATGACAGCTGTCCAGCAGTGCTCCCATTTTATTTAATAAACCATCCAATGCCTTCAAGATTGTGCCCAAGCTGTGCCGAATAAACTTTCGGCATACTGTGCTGAGTGACTTACCCCTTGGAAAATTCACCAAATCGAACTAACACGCAATCTAACTCCACTATATTGTTGGGGAAACATTTCCCTATCGGTATTAGTTTGCGTGGGCGGGTCATTTGAATATTTGTTTAACAAAGGAAACATAATCCTTGCTTATACCTTTTTATCAGGTTTGAGATCTTGAATTAAGTTCAAAAGGTTCACTCAAATCATATGCATCGTGAATACTCGTGCCAATTATCTACAATAAGCAGGAAAATTGTAATTTAACCGTTTTCCGGTACCATTCCATCGAATTAATATATAAAAAAAAACGAATCCCTCGGAAATGTTTCTTTTAACCATCCACATTTTATTGATCCATCATAATCATTCTACAGTAACTTCGTGTTTTGTCTTATTTCCCCTAGTGCCACCTCCTAGGAAGCCGGACTTGTCCCTTCTGCTTCCTATTTATAAAAGATTGTGGTTCCTGACCCTACCTTTGCTTTATCAATTTCATCTCGCATTGCACGTTTTTGTTTTGTTTGCTCCTTACTTACATTCTAGTTATTCATTTTTTTAATGTTTGTGTATGTGTGTGTGTCTGTGTGTATGTTTGCGTGTTTGCGTGTTAAATGGTCAACGCCTAGATAATATTTTCACTAATTTAGCACATTGTAAGTCATGTATGTGTGATAAACACACGGCAAAAAGTAACATTGTTAAATAGTATTCAGCTTGCGTTCAAAAATGGAGGCTATATGCATAGGTCTTGTATTTAGATTTATGGATAGAATGTATAACAACTAGTATGTACTGCTGTTGGATCAGCGTTTTTTTATATCATTATCCCTTTACTTAACCATTAACTTATCGTGGTGTTTTCATTTATTTCCATTTTTTATCAATAAGATATAGCAATGACCTTCTTTCGTGCGTGTCACGCTTGTGAACGTAACATTTGTTTTTGTCTCATACCAGTTTTTTTTCTGGATTTTCATTTTTATTGCATCGCAGTTAGAACATGTGTTATTTTATACAACTTCAATGTTTTTTTGTAAATGTTGTGTAAGTAGTGCGAAAAAACGGGACAATAGATTGAATTTTGCTTTCGTAAAGTGACTGTGTGCGTTTGGAATAAGATTCGAATCCGAGAAAAATTTAAATTGTTGTTTATTTTAAATTGTAGTAGAGAAGTTTGGTAAAATAGGCAATCTTTTCAACAACTATTGTTAGTTACAATTAACTTTGCTTCTACTATGCTATATATTTGTTCATTGTTTTGTTGAAATGGATTAAGTTATGGAAGAAACCAACATTTGAATAGCAAACCCTCGTAAAACTTATCCATTAATTTAGAACAAAATTTGTTATAGGATCTGCTTGGGAATGAAATTCGTTCGATCTCAGCTCAGCTCGACTGTTTTGTATTTTTGTTTGTTATCCTGCTTGGTTGAAAATTGAATTCCCTTGGTTTTCTGCGTTTGTGTTCTGTTTGTTTGTTTGGATTACCCGTATTATTCCACATCGCTACTTTACAACTTTTACCTAATCACGCGTTTTTCATTTACTAATTTTACTGATTTTTCTTTTCTAATGACTGCAATATAACAAAGTGTTCACGATTTATGTTTCATTACACCGAATAAATACAATTTGGTTGTGATTTACACGCTTTGACGGAGACAGAAATGTTTTCATCCAAATATATAGAGTGCTGTGTTTTTGCATCGACCAGGGAAATCACTCCCAGCCGAGCATATTGTGTTGAAGTGTAATTTTACCGTTTGCTTCTATTAAGACAAAATGCACGAATTTCGTTTTCCGCCGAGGCTTTTCTCCTGGATTTGCTGTAGATGTGCCAGCTGGGCGGCAGAGGGGACATGCACCGATGCAGAGGGGACGTTTTGCGATGGGGTGGACGGAGCGGTTCCGCCTCCGCCACTGGCTTGCTGGGGCAGCGATTGGCGCCGCCTCCGGCGCAGTGCCGGACTCAGATTGTAGGTTATTTTGGCCTGGGCGAGCAGTTCCTTGAATACCTGTAGGCGAAAAACAGCGAGGATATTTAAAACTGTCTTAACCGGTTCTAATGAAGGACAATACTTGTGAAACGTTTCGATTGAGCTTGGCGGATACCTCGACGAAGCCATTTTCCCAGTCGACCGTTACCATCGAATCCGTTGTGCCACGTGGGATCTGGAAAAGAGAGACAGAGAAAGAGGGAGAGAGGTGAGATGAGAGAATCTGTGCATGTAGGCAACGTTTGTGAGAGCTCAGCTAAAGCTTTCAGTGGGTGGTGAAAACAGGTTGAGCTTTAGAACGTGTTTGAAAGCTTGATTTATTGAATGGGAAATTGGTGAATGTTTGAGCAGAAATATTTCATTATTGTTTTACTTTAGATGCATGTCGTGTAAAATCTATAGTAGACCCTACTCTTATGCGGTGGGTGGTCCACCCACCGCTGTTTCTCGGCTGTCATTAAACCAAATAAGCTGATTTTGTGTGTGTGATTAGTGTCAACCATAAACTAGATTCTAGGTTCGATTAACTGTGAAACATGTACGATGTACTTCGAAGCAAAACACCAACCCTGTATATTGAATAGTTGAAAAAATAAATTTTCTTTCTCACTATTAAGGGGTTTAATCTTTGAACTGAAAACATCAATAGAAGCGCAGTAACATTTTGTAAAACTTCTCTGACGGCATATTGACGGCGCGCAAAAATGACGATTTCAACCAGAAGAAGTTGAATAACCAGCTGAAGGAGTTCGAACGGGTCATGAAGGAGAAAGACGAGCACCGATACAGGGCCTTCAGAGAGCAACGGGAAAAATACGAACAGGAAATGGAGGATACCGAGCGACGTGTACGGGAACGGATTGAGGCTCGTCATCGAGTAGTGGACGCGTTCGAAGGAGGACCAACAGCGAGCTTAACGGGCAATCCGGTTCCGCAAGTTCATGTGAACGGTACCGACCAAGCGGGAAATGTTCTGGTACAGGAGCTACAGTTGCTTGAGGAGAAGCAAGCGTTAGAAAGGAGACATTTGGAGGAGAAAAGTCAGCTTCTTCAACGGTTTGGAGCGTTCGACGGAGGTGCAGCTCAAGGTGCATCCGGACTCAACCCTCAGGTGAACGCGTTTCATCCAACAAATCGGAGTAATCTGTTTGGTGCCTCTACACTTAACCAAAGCCAGGTTTCAGCGCGCCAAGCTGTTAGTAAGGAACTTCCGAGCTTCACAGGAAATCCTGAAGAGTGGCCCCTATTCTTCGCAAGCTACGAGAACTCTACTCGAATCTGTGGATACAGCGACGAAGAAAATCTTCTACGGCTTCAACGATGCCTTAAAGGACGAGTTTTGGAAGCGGTGCGTTGTCGACTGCTGCATCCTTCAAACTTGCCAGGTGTTATCGCTACACTGAGGACGCTGTTTGGAAGGCCCGAGATCATCGTGCATTCGCTGGTTAGCAAGATTCGGGAGATGCCACCACCGAAAGCAGAAAAGCTGAACACATTGATCGATTTCGGAGTTGCTTCTGTGCCACCATCAAGGCATCGGGTCTCGACGAGTATCTCTGCAACGTAGCTTTACTGCAAGAGTTGACGGAAAGATTGCCACCTGCTGTAAGGCTCAACTGGGCGTACCACCGGCAGACGCTGGATAGAGTCACCTTGTCAGACTTTGGAGATTGGCTGGGAAAGTTGGTGGAAGCAGCCAGCGTAGTCACGATTCCATCCATCGGTGTCACGAAATCGGAGAGACGCGGTCGAAAGGAGGATAACTACCTCAACGTACACTCGGATAGCAACCCCACCGAAGAATTCGCCACGAAGACTCGATCGGTACCAGTTCCGAAAGGTTGCGCTGTATGTCTGGAGGAATGCAGCGGTCCAGAGACGTGTGGTAAATTCCTCAACATGACAATCGGAGCCCGTTGGACAGTTGTAAAGGAGCAGAAGTTGTGTCGGAAGTGTCTGCGGAAGCATTTCGGTGCCTGTCACGTTAAAACACCATGCGGAAAGAACGGTTGTTTGTTCATGCATAGCAAATTGTTGCATGACGACAAACGGTACAACAAGCCCGCAGTTTCGGAACCGACGGCGTCTACGAGCGGAAATTCATCATCGCAGAGCTGTAACACTCATTCGAATACGGCTGGGAAGGTTCTGTTTCGATATGTGCCTGTGATCATCTACGGAAAAGGGAAGTCTGTGAAAACCTTCGCCTTTATTGACGATGGGTCGTCGGCTACATTTATGGAGCACAGTCTGGCGAAGGAACTGGATCTTGAAGGAATATCGCATCCATTGTGCCTCAACTGGACGGGAGGTCAACAAAGGGAGGAAAAGGAATCGGTGAAGCTAACACTGAAGGTTTCCGGAACACACGACGCCAGCAAGGTCTACGAACTCCCGAAAGTACACACGGTACGGAACCTTTCTCTGCCAAAGCAGTCAGTACAACAATTGGCAGCCAAATACAACTACCTGAAGGGATTACCAGTCGAATCCTACGAAAGCGTGTCTCCAAGAATCCTGATTGGGATGGACAATTGCCGCCTCGGTCACGCGTTGAGAAGCACCGAAGGAAACGAGAACGGACCGGTCGCAACGAAAACCCATCTCGGTTGGCTCGTGTGCGGACCGTGTTCGATGATATCTGGAGCACCAAATACAGGTTACAGCGGCTACCACAGTTTTCACATTTGCCCGTGTAGTACGGAAATGGATAAGGACCTGAACGGCGCTTTGAAGGAGTATTTCTCGATTGAGTCGCTGGGAATCTCTGGATCGTCCAAACCACTAGTTTCGAAGGACCAAGAACGAGCGCTGAAGATTCTATCCACCGAAACACACCTGAAAGGGAACCGCTATGAGACTGGCCTGTTGTGGCGGTACGATAAGGTGCAATTTCCAGACAACCGAGCAATGGCGTTGAAGCATCTAACATGCTTGGAGAAGAGGATGAGACGGGATCCCGAACTAGCAGCAGCAATGCGTGCTAAGATGTCAGAGTACGAAGAAATGGGGTACATTCAAAAGCTTTCAGTGGCTGAGAAGGCGGAAAAGCATCCGAACGATTGGTATCTGCTGATCTTCCCGGTCACCAACCCAAACAAACCTGGGAAGATACGGATCGTTTTCGACGCAGCTGCAAAGGTGAACGGCGTGTCCCTCAACTCGTTACTTCTTACGGGACCGGATCAACTGGTAGCACTGCTTACAGTTTTGTTCAAATTCCGTGAGTTCCGTATCGCCATAGTTGGGGATATCCGCGAAATGTTTTTCCAAGTGCTGATGAGGCTGCAAGACCAGCGAAGTCAAATGATCCTGTGGAGCAGCGGAAAACCCAATGAAGACCTGGACGTGTACGTAGTGAATGTTATGACGTTCGGCGCAGCGTGTTCTCCAAGTTCCGCGCACTATGTGAAGAACCTGAACGCAGATAGGTTCATGGAGCAGTTCCCTCGAGCGGTTGAGTGCATCAAGTACGAACACTATGTCGACGACATGCTATCTAGTGTGGAGACCGAGGAGGAAGCCGTGCAGCTAGCCAATGAAGTGCGTTTCGTGCATTCTCAAGGAGGCTTCGAGATTCGTAACTGGTTATCGAATTCAAGCAAAGTCCCGACGTCCTTGCAGGAGGGCACCACCACGGAGAAAAACATGAGCCTATGTACGGAGATGTCAACGGAGAAGGTGCTTGGAATGTGGTGGGACACCGCCACCGACACGTTCACGTTCAGGATATCACCAAAACATGATGCGGAGCTGTTGTCCGGAGTCAGAATGCCCTCGAAGCGGGAAGTGTTACGGACGCTGATGGCGATATATAATCCGATGGGACTTATCGCCAATTTCCTGATGTATTTGAAAATTCTCCTACAGGAAATTTGGCGCTCTGGGGACGATGAAATCACTAGAAAACTGGCTGAGAAGTGGATGATTTGAATCGCGGTGTTGCCTGACGTACGTAAGGTGAGCGTTCCTCGGTGTTACCGATACATCACGACTGCTGAAGCCACAAACGTTGTCCAACTGCACGTCTTCTGCGATGCAAGCGAAAATGGAATCGCTGCCGTTGCCTACTTTAGATTCGAAGAAGCTGGAGTCATAGAATGCGCCATGGTCGGATCAAGAACACGGGTAGCACCGTTGAAATTCCTCTCGATTCCACGTCTAGAACTACAAGCTGCTGTAGTCGGAGCGCGTTTGGCAGACAGCATTACAGGCTCACACCGGATGAAGATTTCACGCCGAATATTCTAGACGGACTCCCGCGATGTGGTATGCTGGATACGATCCGATCACCGACGCTATAGCCAATTCGTAGCGTTCAGGATCAGTGAGCTGCTGGAATGCACTGGAGGGGATGAGTGGAGATGGGTGTCTACGAGATCGAATGTGGCTGATGACGGAACGAAGTGGCAGAGGCTGCCGGACTTACAACCTACGAGTCGCTGGTTCCGCGGACCAGACTTCCTATGGAAACCGGAAACCGAATGGCCAGGTGAAGGCGGAGATCCGGGGACGACTGCAGAAGAGATTCGTCCCAGCGTTCTTCATCACATAATCACGGAACCGCTGGTGTGCTTCGAGCGTTTCTCCAAATGGAAGCGGCTGTTGAGAACGGTCGCATATGTTCACCGATTCATCACGAACCTCCAGAATCGAACCAACCAGATACCCGTTGAGCTAGGACCGCTTACGCAAGAGGAGCTGAATAGCGCCGAACAAACCATCTACCGTCAAGTGCAACGGCAAGCCTATCCGGACGAGGTTCAAATGCTAAGCCACGTGGGTCGGGACAAACAGCCCTGGGAATGCATCATCCCGAAGACCAGCCTGTTATAAAAGCTTAGCCCGGCCATCGACGCACACGGTGTACTACGGATGCGCAGACGGATCGAAGCTTGTGAGTGGGTAGATGAAAACGTCAGGAATCCGATCCTGCTTCCGAAGCGTAATTACGTAACCGATTTGGTGACCGCTGATTATCACAACAAGTACCGTCTCCAAAACCATCAAACGGTGATGAACGAAGTAAGGCTGAAATACTTCATTCCCCGGCTTCGATCAGAGTACAACCGTGTCCGCAAAAATTGCCAACATTGCAAGGTACGTCGAGTAAATCCGCAGCCCCCTGCCATGGGAAACCTTCCTCCCGCACGCCTAGCGGTGTTTCAGCGACCG